GTAGGTGTTCGAAAAATATTTTTTTAAAAAATCCACGCCTGGTTTTGTGTTCGAAAAATATTTGTAGGTGTTCGAAAAATATTCTTTAAAAAATCCACGCCTGGTTTTGTGTTCGAAAAATATTTGTAGGTGTTCGAAAAATATTCTTTAAAAAATCCACGCCTGGTTTTGTGTTCGAAAAATATTTGTAGGTGTTCGAAAAATATTCTTTAAAAAATCCACGCCTGGTTTTGTGTTCGAAAAATATTTGTAGGTGTTCGAAAAATATTCTTTAAAAAATCCACGCCTGGTTTTGTGTTCGAAAAATATTTGTAGGTGTTCGAAAAATATTCTTTAAAAAATCCACGCCTGGTTTTGTGTTCGAAAAATATTTGTAGGTGTTCGAAAAATATTCTTTAAAAAATCCACGCCTGGTTTTGTGTTTCGAAAAATATTTCCACGCCTGGTTTTGTGTTCGAAAAATATTTGTAGGTGTTCGAAAAATATTCTTTAAAAAATCCACGCCTGGTTTTGTGTTCGAAAAATATTTGTAGGTGTTCGAAAAATATTCTTTAAAAAATCCACGCCTGGTTTTGTGTTCGAAAAATATTTGTAGGTGTTCGAAAAATATTCTTTAAAAAATCCACGCCTGGTTTTGTGTTCGAAAAATATTTGTAGGTGTTCGAAAAATATTCTTTAAAAAATCCACGCCTGGTTTTGTGTTCGAAAAATATTTGTAGGTGTTCGAAAAATATTCTTTAAAAAATCCACGCCTGGTTTTGTGTTCGAAAAATATTTGTAGGTGTTCGAAAAATATTCTTTAAAAAATCCACGCCTGGTTTTGTGTTCGAAAAATATTTGTAGGTGTTCGAAAAATATTCTTTAAAAAATCCACGCCTGGTTTTGTGTTCGAAAAATATTTGTAGGTGTTCGAAAAATATTCTTTAAAAAATCCACGCCTGGTTTTGTGTTCGAAAAATATTTGTAGGTGTTCGAAAAATATTCTTTAAAAAATCCACGCCTGGTTTTGTGTTCGAAAAATATTCTTTAAAAAATCCACGCCTGGTTTTGTGTTCGAAAAATATTCTTTAAAAAATCCACGCCTGGTTTTGTGTTCGAAAAATATTCTTTAAAAAATCCACGCCTGGTTTTGTGTTCGAAAAATATTTGTAGGTGTTCGAAAAATATTCTTTAAAAAATCCACGCCTGGTTTTGTGTTCGAAAAATATTCTTTAAAAAATCCACGCCTGGTTTTGTGTTCGAAAAATATTTGTAGGTGTTGGAAAAATATTGTTTAAAAAATCCACGCCTGGTTTTGTGTTCGAAAAATATTCTTTAAAAAATCCACGCCTGGTTTTGTGTTAGAAAAATATTCTTTAAAAAATCCACGCCTGGTTTTGTGTTCGAAAAATATTCTTAAAAAAATCCACGCCTGGTTTTGTGTTCGAAAAATAGTCTTAGGTGTTGGAAAAATATTGTTTAAAAAATCCACGCCTGGTTTTGTGTTCGAAAAATATTCTTAGGTGTTCGAAAACTATTCTTTAAAAAATCCACGCCTCTTGTGGATGGAGTTCGAAAAAAAAACTATTCTTTAAAAAAATCCACGCCTCTTGTGGATGGAGTTCGAAAAAAACTATTCTTTAAAAAATCCACGCCTCTTGTGGATGGAGTTCGAAAACAAAATATTCTTTAAAAAAATCCACGCCTCTTGTGGATGGAGTTCGAAAAAAAATATTCCTTAAAAAAATCCACGCCTCTTGTGGATGGAGTTCGAAAAAAAACATTCTTTAAAAAATCCACGCCTCTTGTGGATGGAGTTCGAAAAAAATATTCTTTAAAAAATCCACGCCTCTTGTGAATGGAGTTCGAAAAAAATATTCTTTAAAAAAAATTTGCGCCTCTTGTGGATGGAGTTCGAAAAAAATATTCATTAAAAAAATCCACGCCTCTTGTGGATGGAGTTCGAAAAAAAAAAATTCTTAAAAAAATCCACACATTGGATTGGTGTTTGAAAATATATTCTGATTTTATTGGACCATATAAAGTATAATTATAAAATTTTCCAAAATATATCAATATCTTAGATTTAGAAATTGTTTACATAATTGCAGTTATGAATGCTAAACTATATTCGCATAGATTTATGTTCGTCATAAATGCAATAAAATAAACAATTTCTAAATAAAAAAAAATAAAAATGAAAATCTCAAAATATTACATAGAAATTCAGCACACAAAAATATAAATGAAACCAAAATTATATAAATAAAAAAATTCCAAATATTTATAATCAATCCTGATTTTGCCGAAGACTTGCTTCCATTTCATTTCCATTAGAATTCTTTGTTATTTTCTCTTTGATCAATTGGGAACATTCCGTTTGCTGAAAGAATTACAAAGAATATACAATTCAGATTCATTCTCAAAATGCCGAAAAATCCGCCATTACCTCATTAACGAAAAATGCCTCTTCCAGACAATTTTTATGTTTATTCAACGAACAGGTGCTCATCTTCGTCGAAGCCTTTTCAAACTCCCGCCAATCACCTATGACAATCCGTACATTTCAAATCCACTCCCTGCTGGCGCATATTTTTCATTAAATTATAATTTCGGGTTTGAAAATAGGTCTCCTCTTTGAAGCTGCCCTGTAATTTTTCCAAACCCCCACCAATTGGGAGATCAATATCATCACTGAAATTTCGCAGTCCTTGATTCAAAGTGGCAGGGTAGTTGTGGGACCTATAAAGAGATTTTTGGTATTCATTTTGGAAATATTTCATTTTAATACGACTTACCTGATAGTATTGGAAAATATACCACGCCGAACACCATAACATATCCGCCTAAACATTTTTCTCTTGGTCGCTTCTTTGTAATTTTCAGTTCCAGAACAAAAATATATTTTTTAATAATAAAAATTAACTAACAATTGTTTAATAAAATGAAGAGGATATTTTGACAATTCAACAATACACCAGCTGATCGTACAGGGTAACCTATTACAAGTACTATTAATAACGTTTAATCCCTATAAAATCCCATTGGCAACCCTAAAATCTAATCAACCATTCCCAATGCATTTCTATGAGCTCATTATCATTCACAATAACCTCTACCGCATACCGGACGGGCAAGTGCATTATTTAATAAGACTACTGTGTGTGCAACAAACCAAATAATTATTTTATTATACGAATAAAATAAACTATAGTCCCTTCAAAATGTTGAGAATAATCAGGCGCATAAACTGCAACATAATTCCGCAACAAATTCGGTGAGCGATATTCCAAATTGCTAAAGATTAAATTCTCCAAATTGTTAAATTTGTAATATTCTTTTTATAGCATCGGCATCGTCCAAATGTCGAATGGCGGTGGCGGCGGTGCAGGAGGAGGAAGTGGAGCCGCTGGTGGCAAAGGCAGTTCTGGCGGAGGTAAAGGTGGCGCCCCTGCCGGTGAATCAGATGGAAATGTCGATAAAATACAAGCAGCCCGGGAAGAAGAATTTTTCCGCAAACAACGAAATGAACAATTGAAGAAGCTGAAGACAAAGAAACCCAAGGAGGGGGAAGAAAAGAAGAAGTAGAAGGAACATTAAATACCTTTTTAATACTATTTTAAAAATAATCACAGATTTTAATATTTATTTTATTTATTTATTTTTTTGCAAAAGGAAGTATTTGTTTAAAAATTAAGTTTAATGAAATATTCGTTATTTTTTAACGTGTTATTGAAAATATAAACGAGAAAAAAAGTGCCAATCGGTATTGCCGACAGATATATACTTCCTGCTTATGGTTTGAGGAGGTCTACGGTATAAAACGCCGGTTTTATTATTCGATTTATATGAGGTATATATATATTTTTTTTTTCAAAAAGATTATCATCTTTGGAGGGATAGCAGAAAAGGTTGCCATATAGAACCCATCTAAGATTTGATGTAGGCTTGGAAACATTACGATTTGCAATGTTTGGATCAGATCAGGATATTACAAAAACAATTTTTTTAAAATGTTGACACTTTGTGGGGAATGTGCCAGAAGGAGAGGATCAATTGGTCCGTTCGCTTCATATGAGGTATGCAAGTTTTCCAAATGTTGACCCATTGTTGGGGACACTAGAGGGAGTGGGCTGATGAGACCCATCTTCCATCTGCAATGTTTGTTTTGAATCGGATGCTCTGCTCGCATGACATTATAGAAAGCATTTTCAAAAACTTTTTTAAACTTCTGAGTGGAAGGTTCCAGTAGGAGTGGATCGATTAGTCTCAACATCGGACTTAATCTTGGTGTGGTAAAAAATTAACGATGTGTGAAGTTTGGATGAAATTTCATACATTTTCAAAAACTTGGAACCATAGGTCTAAAGAATAAAACACAGGTTTTATTTTTCGCTTTATATAAGGTACATGTTTTTCAAAGAGTCCGCCATCATAGGAGAGGTTTCCTATAGTAATATATGTTTGAATGTTTGTGGGGGCGGCACCAGAAACATTGGACCGAATAAAACACAGGTTTTATTTTTCGCTTTATATAAGGTACATGTTTTTCAAAGAGTCCGCCATCATAGGAGAGGTTTCCTATAGAAATATATGTTTGAATGTTTGTGGGGGCGGTACCAGAAACATTGGACCGATGGGTTCCATTTCGAACACTACCTAGGTTTGGTAAAAGTATTAAGATTTCAAGTTTATAAGTTTTAAAAATGTTGAATCTTGGTTTTCGATTTGCATACATTCCGTTTGCTCCATATGAGATTTATAATTTTTCAAAAATTTGGACCCATTGTGGGGAAGGTACCAGAAGTAGAGGACCGATTTCCAACAACATTGGCAACCCTAATCGTATCATCGCCAAACAAAAATAAACAAATGATTAAACATCGCCAACAACAGCAAGAAGAAGCTTCGTCAACAACCAATCACAATAGACCACCAACAAAAAACAAAATACCGACACTCATTGCTGCTGCAACAACTGAGCGGATTTGTGAAATTTTGTTGACGAAATAAACAGCAAAAATAGCAATTTGCTAATTATTATAAAAGAAGAGCGATATAGAACAGAATTTCCAGTATGCTACTGACATTGAGGCGCATCACACAACGTTTATATCCCAAGCAGATACAGTAAGTAGCAGAGGTCTCACTCTCAGATGCAATTTTCGCTGAATTTGGGTCACAACAAATATTACATAATTTGCAATTAATCTGATTAATTTTTGTGTGCTTTTTTAGCATTTCGAAAATGTCTCAAATCGGTGAATTGGGTAGCGGTGCCGGTAAAGGTGGCGGCGGTGGTGGTACCATCCGTGAAGCTGGAGGCAGTTTTGGTAAAATGGAGGCGGCCCGTGAGGAGGAATTCTTCTATAAACAACAAAAGGAACAATTGAAGAATTTAAAAACCAAAACAGAAACTGCCAAACCCGAAGAGCAAAAGAAGTGAGAGGAGAGAGAAACAGTGAGCCGGCACGGCAAGAGAGAGAATAAAATCAATATTTTTGGAGTGACCAACTCGAATGTTTTTTAATTTAAAAAAATTGCCTTAAAATGTTATTCTGTTTAAAGAATGTTAGATTTGAAACTTTATTTTGGAAACTTTTTTTTAATAAATTAGTAGAATTGATTTAAATTGAGTATTTTGAAGATTTTTGTTAATATTAAAAGATTTTTACAAACAAAATTTAGGAAAAAAAAATTGTTTAGCGCAAGTTTGCAGATCTCTTTGGAATTTTTACCACAAGTAGTCCTTAGAACCGTAATCACAACGATATATATATTTGGAATAAAATGCGCTTTACCAACAACTCTCAGAAGGTAAGTAGTAATCATAATAATAATAAGTAGTCATAAGTAGGCCTTCTTCTGATACCGATTAAAACAACATACGTTAGTTCAGGGAGGAAATCAGTACTTCCCGAGATACGGGGCTTTAAGGTTCCAATAAAATACCCCAATTTTATCGTAATATTTCTTTCATACCTACATTAAGCCCGAATATGGGATTCATGGGTCCACTCTTTCTGGTACCTCCCCTTCAAAATAGTGAACATTTTGCTGATAATTATGTTTATAATATCATGCGAACGGATGATCTGATAATGTCTGTATAATGTTGAAAGATGGGATATATCGGTTCTGATAGCTCCTATACAAAGGGTCAAAATTTTGAATTTTCAAAAGCAAGCGAAGTATCCATCATCGAAACTTTGCACAACGTAATATTTTTACCATACATAAATTATGTCTGAAGATTGGACCCGTCGTTTTATTCCTTAGGGTACCTTCCTCACGATTTCAATTTTTTTTTTAAATTTGTTAATCTAATATCAATGGAATTGACTGTCCGATTTCATTAAATTTTTTCAAATTGTAATATTTTACCAAACCCATATATAGTCCGACGATGGGAACCATCTTTGATACCTCCCAATAAAAATAATAAAACCTGCGTGTTTGTAACGGAGCGAAATATTGGTCCTAGACCCACCTTTAATAAACAGATCGAGTCGATCTAGACATGTGTGTCCGTCCGTCTGTCCATTATAATTTGAAAGTAGTATACAGGCCACAGTTATGGACCTATCTTCACGAAATATAGGATGGGTTCTGGCCAATGAACACCTTTTTTTTGGTAAAGATCGGTTAATATTTAGGGATGAAATGGACGAATACTTAATTTTTGTCGGTTTCTCTGGTCGCTTCAGAGACCGCAATTATTGGCCGAACATCGTCAAACACTAGAGGTTCCAGTTATGGTCAAGGACAACGCCTACAATTTTCGGTGATGACCAGATAATATTTTTGGGATGAAGTGGACCGAAAACTTATTTTTTTTGTATTTTTCTGAGTCGATTTATAGGCCCCAATTGTAAACCACTGTACTGAATATTAGTAACATTCGGAAAATATGTCAGTGTAAGGAAGAGGTACTGTTGACCTATAGTCAGGTAAGAGGTTTCAAATTTCACGAAATACTGCGTAAGCTCGGAATAAACATCCGTATCGTATGGTCGGCCCCGACTGATTATACTTTACCGCTCACTGGTGTTTTTATTTACATATGTGTCAGTCAGCTGTTGCTTGTTTAAAAGGACATCAGTGCATCAGCTGCTTTTTATTTACAAGTACCTTTTGGCGCGCTGTCAACAATTGGTTGGTTGGCAATTTAGGAAACATACTCCAAATGTATACCAAGGATCTGTGATTACCTAGGGGGAAATATCCCAAAAGGTGCATTTTACGAAATTTGGAAAAGTACATTTAATTATAATATTCTTGCCGCCTATATTAATCCTGCAGGCTTTTACAAATTTGCGGAACATCAATTGTGACGGAGTATCAACTAATAGCTATGAAATGAAAGTGCGATAGCCTAACGTGATTTTTTATGTGTCTATGTTTTTGTGTCTTCTAAAATGGTCCAAATTCAAACCTCCTGACACGTAAGGAGTATGTGGCGGCTGTGTGGTCATTTGGCACTACGGGTCATGTATTAATGAATATAAGCTGGTTACAAACGAATATAGACTGGTGATATGCCAAAAGTAACATCAACCTAAGAAGAGAAACAAATTCGAACCTTGGAGGGGGTGCATGCACCTATTAAATCATCTGAGCTGACGTACCGTGTAAAGTACTCTGATATTTCCATGTTAGCTTTATTAGGTATCCTGGACACACCTCTTTTAGGTTCGAATCTATGGAAGAACCTGTAATATACCGATTTCTTGTAAGTAATAACCCCCATTAAATTCTTAAGTTCTCATTCATATTTCTTATTTTTAGTAACCTACCTGACCTGCCAAAAACAAAAATATATTTAAGTGTCCTTCACAATGATCGTTAACTAAAGATGACACTTCAATTGCCTACTGCGAACACAGGACATTTGGTCAACATTACATTATTCTATTGTAATTACCCACTATGAGGCTCTTGGAGGAGCAAAAAAATACACACTTGATAAGAATAAACAACATAATCTCATTTTACGAACAAAAAGCAACAACAACAAAAGCAATACCCTAATGTAAAGAGTGCACACTTTTCAGCTGAGAACAAATGTTTCCGAGAACAGCCACCACAAACCGGTCTCAACTCGTAATGATATTCCGAAAAAAAGAACACCAATGAAAACAATAACACACTGAGTTGTCCAGCAGTCAACAACTGATTGTCGATCGCGATACATATAGGGCACGCACGCAAAGAGACTATCGGACAAAAATAGTTTAATATTTCGCTAAATCATAAAAATAAACAGCACTATGGCCAAAAATTTATCCAATCCCCTTAAGGTGGCCCTCCGTAGTCGCATGAAAGGTGAGGTGTTAAAGAACATAACACCGGAATCCCGAGCACGACAATCTAAAGCAATTACGGAAAAGGTAACATCAATGATTCCAAAATCTACTGATTATCTTTATCAATTAATTATTGAACTTTTATGTTCATTTGTTTTTTGTTTACTTTGTTTTTATTTAGGTTTTGAAAACCGAAGCATTTCGCAATTCTCAACGCGTTAGCATATATTTGAGTACAGCGTCTGAAGTTGATACGGGCGATTTGTTGAGCGAATGTTTTCGCTTAGAAAAACATGTCTTCGTACCCACCTATGAGGGTAGTAATATGGAAATGGTTCGGCTTAAAAATTTGGAAGATTACAATTCATTGCCGCTAACCAAATGGAATATTAAACAGCCGAGTGCCAAGGAGGGTCGTGAAAATGCTTTAACAAATGGTAAGGAGGGAATATAGAGAAAAAATAAGTTTCCAACAGAAACCTTAAAATTTTAAATATAAAGTATGTAGTATTGGGGTTATCAATCGCCTAAGAAATTTCTATGCACCAGATTCCAATCAAGGGCTACCAAACATGCTGCCCAATTCATTTTAGCTCAATGTTTTTCACGGGGGTATTGCCTTAATATTCTGGATATATATTTTGTATCTCAGCCTGACGAATGCTGTAACATGTCACCTGCCATTTCATAGGGGTTAGCTCAAATCACCCTATTATCATCTACATATATCAGCAGACAACCCGACTTTATAATCTCTGAACGCTGTACTTTTCACCACTAGTCGATTCAGAGTTAATTAGGCTTTACAATGTTCGGCTAACAGAAATGTAAAAAAATGTGCCAATATTTTTATATAACCTCCAATTTTTTAGCTACAATTTTCAACCGACAATTATGTATCAACCCCATGTTGGTCGTTTCAATGCACCATATTTCGATCAAAGCCTACCAAACCTGCCGAACACCCCGCCCCGCCGCTTCACAGAGGTCAGACCATCTTCCAATTATCATATCAATCAACAGACCACCTGACTTTAAAATCTTTGCATGCCGTTCTTTTTTTATGAGTTTCAAGAATTCACGAATCGTCGATGCAGAGAACTGTCCTATACTTGGCTAGCAGAATGGAATTATCGCTGCTCGCTATATACCGGCGCATGAAATACTTGAATTTATATCGGCAGAAATAGCAAATGAGCATGAACTCAAATTTTGAGTATGCTACCGGACGGCGAGCAAAAAAAGAGGCTAGAATCGAGTAAATTGAATGCAGGACAAAAGGATAATTGGACTTCTGTCTCATTTAACGGTGCTGAGGTAACATATCCTAAGAGACACTTTGTACATCGAAAGTCCAAAGTCCTAAGCATCAGATAATCCTACTCAGTTGCTCGGAATAATTATAACAGACGCATATTGTGAGAGGAAGCTAACGGAACAGATCGACTTTACAAAACATTTGACAACGGACTATCTCAACTAGACCTGTTCGGGGACGTCGGAAGAACTATCCTCCAGTTAATTTTGAACAATTGTTTGTGATATATATCTGAGGACCTATGTGGAATTTAGATACCGAATTTTTCCATATGTGGAATATGAAAATATTCCCCACAAAGTCAACGGCCTCACTGTTTACCATATGGCAGCGGAGACGCATCTACCTTTAATTACCGCCAAGGTTCTAGGGGACTCAATTTCTTTATGCTGAAACAAGGTTCATAAGCTGGGAAGCTAATAAAAATTCCTTGTGGGCAGCCTAAAAGACCGAGCTACCGGTCTGTTTAAAGGTATGCGGCTCCAGTGAAAAAACCGCCCTGAGAACTGCAAAAGAATCTCTATTTCGCACGTGAAGTTGGAATTCGACCAATTAAGAAGCCCTTCGCAACATCGTACGGATATTTACTGGAAAACTTCCGAATGTATTTGATGTTAATTAGAATGAATTAGAATGAATTCCTTGTCCGTTATCGAGTCTCTATCCCGTCCGATAAACCGGTTGCAGTAATTAACCGCTCTCCGATAAATCTTCTTGTCAGAGATGTCTTTTGGGTTGACTCGCATAGTGGTTCCCGGTTCCGATGGTTCATCCATCTTTACGATGAGGAACTCATCGGCCACAGTATCCGGGCTGGCTCGTTTAGTGGTTTCCGATTGCGATGATTCATTCATCTTTACGATGGGTTGCTCGGGCCCCAGTATCCGGATCCATTTTCTGAGACCATTTGTCGTGTTGTCGTTTCACAATGTTTGGATGTTGATTTGGAGGATTGCCCCTTGATCCGATTATTGTCATCCTGTGGTAACCTTCTCACCATTCTTTTTAGCTACCAATTCATACGAAATCGAAGTTTGAACTGTCTGCAGCAACGATGGATACTTTGTAGCAGGTTTTTGTTCCACTATAGACCGCTTGCCAAAAGAAATTCCTTATCACTAGGGCCTTGGACATATATCTGCCAATAACAGACAGGCTTTCCTGTCCAGTGCTTCATTGGATTTAGCACTGTTGGGTGGCGTAGTCGACAGTAGGGTTTCCAAAGTATCTTTGAATCATTTGCCATCGTGAAGCCATAGGGTGTCAAGGATTTTTATTTTAATGTTTCAGAATCCATACATTTAGTAAGTGTAGGAGGACATAATGTCGATCATGGCATAGCCTACTTACCATAACAATTTGGTAAATAAATTTAATACTGGGCGAGGCGCCAACTTTTTGGCATATTTCAGTGTCAAATTTTAATCAGTTTGTTAATACAATCTATTTTGTTGATTTCTCTTGCAGGACAAGGTATTGATTTATTCCTAATACCCGGTGTGGCATTCACACTAAATGGTGGCCGCATGGGTCATGGTATGGGCTATTATGATGCGTATTTGAGACGACACTATAATACCTATCCGAATAAGAAAACTACCTTAATGGCTTTGGCTTTTCGGGAACAAATTGTCGAAGATGGTGAACTGCCATTGGAGGAGCATGATGTTAAAATTCATACAATTGTAACGGAATAGAGGGCAATCATTGCAAAAAACAAAAATCTGGAAAAGATTTATGGACAAGCATTGTTGATAAATTACAATGTAATAAGGATTATCAATATATAGTTTGATAAGAATGTAAACAAAGCAAAAAATAAAAAAAAAATAGAGATAAGAATGACAAGGGCATTGAGAAGCAATGCACCGCCGACACAATGTAATGATTATTAGAATGACGTTAGTAAATAGATTAAATTGTTTATGTGTATATTTTATTGTTTTTTTTATTATTATATACTAAATATATTTTTTAATGTATTTTGTCTTTGTTTGTGAAAAATTAATTGAATGTTTTTGTTTTTAATAAAGTCAATTAAGAAAAATATAATGGAAAACTTTTTTTGTTCAGCAAGCTGCAAAAATAGTAAAAAAAATAAATAATTTAAAAACACTGTTTTGTTTTAACGCATATATGGTCTTGACCTTAGGCCACGACCTCTTATACGCCCGGTAAAATGTGAAGTGACATAATGGGGTTCACCCGAAGACCCTCCACCAAAATGAGAATCATTGGAACGATAGTGTGAGGGGGGACCATTTTCACTCCATGTCAGTGGAGAATTGGTGCGTATAAGTTTCGTCTTGCGATAGGCCACCGCAGCTGATATCCTAGAACCACGATTACGTCCAACACGAGAACCACGCATCAATGGTGGTATTTTATTGTAGCCTGTGGGTCCCGTGGGTTGGGCTCCACATGTCTCCAAAGCCAAAAAGTCATCAACATGCAGGGAGGGTGGCCGTGATGTATTGGGTGGACGTGAACGGAACAAATCTCCACGGGAAGGTGGTGGCCGGGCATAACCTCTGCCACGCATTGAGGTTACAAAGATTTTCTTCTCCGGCCTTCCAGTGCTGGGTTCCACCTCAACACGTCGGGTACGGAAACAGGGTGCTGTGGGTGTGCGTTCACGATTCGATTGTGGTGATGCGGACAAATGTAAAACCCTCTTGCAATCGGAGGATAAATTACACTCCGGTGTGAGACAGGATTGGGCCAATTCTGTCAGATCACATGTAACCCGTTCATATTGTGTCTCAAAGTCCTGCGTGGTGAGGTCATCAATGTTTAGGGCCTGCAGCCAATAATCGCTGGTCATTTGATAATCATCACCATTCAATGGATCGTAGACGGTAAACACGGGCCGGGCATCATATTGGGAAACAATACTTTCAGTTTGGGGTAAAGTGGGTTCATTGTTCAGTTCATTTCCGGACGCCACAGATTCTTCATCGTTACCCGAAGACATAACCACATCGCTGGAGATTAACATTTCCTTTAGCTGCTGTAAATCACTTTTTAAGGATACATTCACTTCAGCTGCCACCTCACCCTTTTCCAACAACGCCAACAAACGATCTATAATCGTTTTCTCTTCTTCCCGATTAAATCCAATTATCATGGCCAATTCTTGGGGCGACAATTTCAATGTCCTTGGTGGTATATAGCTGTACTGCTGATTCAGATCTTCAATTTGTGTCATGGAACGTAGTAGCAATATCAAGGATTCTACATTGGGATTATAGGCCACCGGGGTTGTAGTCGCATCATTTGTTTCCGTTAATTTTGTTAACCATTCTTGAAATTCCGCCTTCTTCTGCTTCAATACCGTGGACAAATGATAAAAGGTAATATCATGATCGGTGAGAATTATCATATTCCTCAGAGCCAAAGTGGCGATTTCACCTTGCTTAACATCGGCCTGCATTAAATTGCCGAAAAGGGCATCAGCAATTTTCGGTATCAATTCCTTGTTGGGCAGGGCCGAAGCCAAGTTCAGCAAATGATTTGTATTGTTATTGGCCAAAACATTTTTGGTGGCAATGAAAGAAACTTCGGTATCCAAAAAACTTTCCAATAGACGATGTACCGAAATTTGACATTTAATACCAACCTCGGAGGGATTTTTAAGTAACAGCAATTGGTGGAATAAATCCCATAACTTGCCCGATAAAATAGATAAGGTGGATATCTTCAATGATGGATAAACATTGAGACGGGCATAAAATGCCAGGAGACGTGATAGCTGTGCTGATGGTTGTTGTCCTGCGGAAGTCCATTCATTGCATAGTAAATCGCTAAAGGTCTTCGAAATCAATAGTGTCATATTGGGTGCCAAATCGGCCAATTGGAGACATACTCGTGTCAAAAGATCACTTAGCTGTGGGAATGAAGAGGGAGCCATAGCTTCAATTAGCCGGGCAATTTGCGCCCCCTGGGGATGTAGATGTGCTGACCATAGCTTACGTTCGGTAAGTAAACGTTGTGCTTTTGTTTTGAGGCTCTCACCACTGGGTGTATTAGCATCGGTTTGCGGTAATGGTACAGGCAGCGGGAGGGGTAATAATTCTGCCAATACTAGGAGGCCTGCGAGAAGAAGAATAGGAGTAAAAAAATGGGTTAGGAATAAAAATAAAATATGATGCAACAATGTTATAAAAACCATGAAAAGATTAGAACCGTCTGTGAAAAAAAAATATCCAAAGGTCTATCAAAATAAAATTAAAAAAATTGAGACGTACAGGTTGGAAGGCAACTTTAAAAATATTTAGAAAATCCAGGCCTATAAACAGAAGTTCCCTTAAAAGAAGGTACCTATAGGTCTGAACCTCTTTAAAAAATATGTTAAAAATCCACGCCTATAAACAGAAGTTCCCTTAAAAGAAGGCACCTATAGGCCTGAACCTCTTTAAAAAATATTTTAAAAATCCACGCCTATAGGTCTGAACCCCTTTAAAAAATATTTTAAAAAATCCAGGCCTATAAACAGAAGTTCCCTTAAAAGAAGGCACCTATAGGTCTGAATCCCTTTATTTTTTTTAAATCCACGCCTATACATCTGAACACCTTTAAAAAATCCAAGCCTATACGTCTGAACACCTTTAAAAAATCTAAGCCTATAGGTCAGAACCCCTTTAAAAAATCCAAGCCTACACGTCTGAACACCTTTAAAAAATCCAAGCCTATAGGTCAGAACTCCTTTAAAAATAAATATTTATTAAAAAACCACGCCTATAGGTCTGAACACCTTTAAAAAATCCATCCTATAGGTCTGAACACATTTAAAAAATACCTTTAAAAATCCAAGCCTATAGGTCCGATCCCCTTTAAAAAAATATTTATTAAAAAACCACGCCTATAGGTCTGAACACCTTTAAAAAATCCATCCTATAGGTCTGAACACATTTAAAAAATACCTTTAAAAATCCAAGCCTATAGGTCCGATCCCCTTTAAAAAAATATTTTAAAAATCCACGCCTATAGGTCAGAACGCCTTCAAAAAATATTTTAAAAATCCACGCCTATAGGTCTGAACCCCTTTAAAAAAATATTTTAAAAACACACAACTAAAAGTGGGTACCCTGAACAAATATAAAAATCTACGCTTTAGGTCAGATGGTACTCCTATAAGTCAGAAGATACCCTGAAAAATTATAATTTAAAAATCAACGCCTACAGGTCAGCAGGTACCTTGAAACAAATCTTTTAAAAATCCAAGCCTGTAGGTCGGAAGGTAGCTTGAAAAAAAATTTTTAAAACCCACACCTCGAAAAAGTTATTTTAAAAATCCACGACTACAGGTCAGAATCTATTTAAACAATTTATAGGCTCGAAGTCAATTGAGAAAAATTTTGACGTTTAATAGGTTTGAAGGTACTATAAAGTGACCTGGCCACATCAAGTTTCCGACGATCGACTTTATTAGTGAGGAAAGTTCTTTCAGATACCGAATATTCCGACTGCGTAGTTTCTCTTCCGTTAGAGGGTTGACTTGAACCACCTTTACACGCATCGAAATTGTTTTAATCTGGAAGTCACTAACAATACTGTTTGCATAGTCCCTCGAGAATTTCCGCATAAATTTCAGATTTCTCTTAACCTTTTTCGTAACTTGAGCAGCTCTAGAAAAATATCCCCTCCACTCACCTGGTATAAATGTTGATGGACTATCGATATTCTTCAATATCTCTCGTATCATTTGAGTCCACAATGACTTGTGCAATAACTCTTCATGCAGTTCATTGGGTTGCGTGTACGCAAGAAGTGTTTGTATTATTTCATATTTCGATTTTTCCACTTCAGCTGCTGCAGGACTATTACTGGGGAAATAATGCATTAAATAATAGGTACGCATTAAATGATCGATGGCGGTTAAATCTTTAAATTCTGCATCACGACATTGAATGGCAAATGATAGCATTTCTCGTAAAATCTGCAATGTGGGCAGAATAATTTGACAACAATGGATACCCTGAATGGTCATCAGTGATGGTGTATGGAGTCCAGGTTGTTCAAAATATGCACAAAGTTTTTCTAAAATCTGCAATAGGGTTTGTATACCATCTGCGGCATAGAATTGTAAGGCGACATAACGATGTTTTAACTCCTCAGTATCGGCTGATTTATAGAGTCTTGACACAGGACCAATTGCCAAATGTCGTAAAATTCTCAAACCCATTATTAAATCACCTGGGAATGTGGTAACATATTCCATGGATCGGGTGATAACCTCTACCAAGGGTGTTATATCATCATAGGAGAAAATATTTGTCACCTCTATGGGTTTCAAATAGACAAATAGCTCTTGTAATACAGCCGAAACGGATGGTTCAAATGTTTCATGATTCTTCGCCAATTCGAGTATGCGTTTGCCGAACTCAATTAGATAATCCAGATTTTCACAATAGCGTACACAGCAGTCGACCATATCGACAGCATAACTGAGTACAGGACTTTTATATTTGGCACCGGGGCTTGAGAGTTGCCGTTGGGCCTGTAAACGTTGTTCTTGTTTTATCAGATCCATAAAAATGTGCAGTTGGTTATTTAGGCCAATAACTTCCACGGTATATTGTCGGCCATCGGCATTACAGGTCTGCGAATATAGGGCATGTAAATGTGTGGCCAATGTGGCGGCATCATAGGGTTCCGCCACTGTGGAATAGAAGATAATCGCATCAAGATGATAGCGCGTCTGCACTTTGTAGGATAATTCAATTCCCAATTTTATAAATTGATCTTCATAGGAACGTTTGCAGTGCTTTTGTGCCATCACCTGGATGTCTTCATTCTCCACGAGTTCCATGGCGGTTTCGGTATCGGTGTTGGATTTGTTATCGGCGTTGTCTGTAGTTGATGCCGTGGCATCTGTTGTGGTTGATTCCTTCGTTGCTGCGGGAGATTTTTTAGCATCTTCCTCTGAGGGTTTGGTTTCCGAGTCTACCGGTTTCATTTCAGCATCTGCAATGTAGTATGGATAATATTCATTATTACTTATTTTTATTGAAAATTTTATATGATTTACTTACCCTCCCCCTCCTCCTCATCGGGTTCAGCAACATCTTCCATTTCCGGTGAGGGTATATCTTCAATACCCAAAAGTATGGCCACCAACATTTGAGCCACTTCGAAACCATCATCCACCAAATAGTCAATACCAATGTGGGTAGACAATAGAGCTTGCAGCAGATCCAAACTTGCCAAAACCAATGAAGATGGCAAAGTGTCACAATTACTCAACAACAAAAGCAGAGATTCCGCCAAGGTATGATGATTAAAATATGAACGTAAAAAATTGGCAAAACTTCTTTGAGCCGATGAGTCCAGAGAAATTTCAAATTTCTTGGAGACGGGTAAAAATCTTCTCGGCTGTTGGTAGGAAAGACAATTTTCATGTAAAGCATCAATGACTTGCAATACTGCAGATTCCAAAATGCTAAAAGGTTCCATGCTGGATGGTTCATAATTGGTTAGGACAAAGAGATTTGTACAGGTCTCCCTGATTGTTGCCAATGCCTCATTCAAATGGAGTTTTTTAATAATGGATTGCAGGAAGTATTTGGTACGCGTTAGCTTTGAGCTATGTAACAAATCGAGAATTAATTGATAACCATCCACGGCTGGGGAGAGGAAATATTGCAGGGCTGGCTTGGTATCCAGTAGCGAGTAGATGGCCTTTAGCAGCAACAGCTTTATGGATAAGGCCATATAATTTTGATGATACAACACCAATATGGCTTTAAATGGATCATAGCTAACTGTGTTCAATAAATATTCAAAGAGCGTGGCACAAGGAGCCAGTAGTTCCATTAATCTTGCCCCGGTCTTTATGTGTCGTATTTTAAATGCTGGTTGGGGTTGGGCGCAGGCAGCCTCAAAATCCAAAGCCACCAATAGAATGTTGTAAACCAATTTTAAATTTTCCTTCTTGCCGAATAGCTCGTGGAAAATATAATCTCTACGTTTATAATCCGAAGAGACATAAGACAATTGATTGATAAATTGTTCACACAAATAGACAAAAGTTTCCTTCTCTTCAGCACTTGTGCTGGGGTCTTTGAATCCCGACAATGTTTCACATTTTGTTTGTGCCGCATATTTGTTTAACAGCGTCTGGAAAACTTCTACATCTTTGTCATATTGTTTAACAAAACTTTCATTGAACTTCTGCACAGGTTGGCTATAGGGATTAAAATCAATAATTGCCGGTTTCGCCTGGGCCGCAGCCAATTGAATTTCTTGTTCAAATTCATCTGCTGCCTGGGCCTGATCATCATTGGTATTAGAATCGTCATCGGGTTCATCGTCTAAGATCTCATCATCACTGAGAATGGGTTCATATTGTTCTACAGGTGTACCGGGGGTTTCTTCTTCCTCGGGTAATGTCGTCTCAGGATTTTCATTGCAGGTGGCCACAGCATCCAATGATTCCGATGATCTGCGGGCATAATTACGTCCCTTGGATGACTTGTAATGGGCCGACTCTTCATCACTATAATCTGGGGAACGTGGCCGGGCCGGTGAAACAATTGTTGCGGGCGGAGTACGCGGCCATTTGTGTGCATCTTCAATATCGGAACGTGAACGTTCAGAACGTTTTCTTCTTGATCTATGACCGTAGACAGGGCTGCGTGACCAATCCCTCATGTTCTTCTCCCGTTCCCTTGTCTCCCTATCTCGATCACGAGTACGTATATATTCTCTATCATTACTCTCGGAATGACAACGATTACGCGATGATGTCGGTGATCTTTCCGACGACCTCGAAGACTTTCTTGCCCTCCTCTCGCCTCGTTCATCACCCGAATCCCGACGATAGTGTTCAGCACCACCACTTGATGATAGACCACGACTACGCATACCCTCATAATCGATATCTTCACGTTCATGCCCGTGAGCAGCTGCAACCACCGGTAGCTCACCCGGTAATGGTTCCTTCCACTCCTCCTTCATCTCCTCATCTTGCAGGCTGCTATTCCTAGCCTCACCACTTAGATTCGGAGCAATCTCTTCCATATCTTCCGGCTCACATGGTGCCGCCGGTGGACTGGCAATATTTTCCGTCAAGGAATTTGTCAATATACCATAAACCGCCAAGGTAATAGTATTATACCAGCCTCGCAATACCAACCCGTCGGTGGGTATCTTTTCCTGGGTACATTCCAAATGTATGCAGTCGTTTTGATTATACTGCAGCTGGCCCAAGTTTTCGAAGGTTGATGCACCCGGCATACCCAAATCGTTGACAAAGAATTCAATGTCAAATTTTGAGGGATTGGTGGCACCCAAACGTACGCCACCCGGGAAGTCTGCCTGGACACGGGCACCCAGTGGTATAATGCGCACCTGTGTGATAAAGACCGGCTTGGGAAATTGCACCAGATCCAAATTTATGTCCTAAATAATAGAATGAGAACAGCCCCTCATTAAAAAAATGCGTCAATGCCGATGCTACGAGGTCTCAACTTACCGCATCTGATTCATGGGAAAAAGTGTCAAAAAACAATAGCTCACTGACATCTTCAGTGTCCGTCATTTTGCTCAGGGTCTTCTGGTCCAATTGAGGATATTTATAAAATAATTATGCGAAATTCCGTGTCAAATTTCAATTTTTCCAATTTTTAACTCATTAATAAATTCTTCACGCAAGCAAATAGATCGCCGATAAAACTGAAAAACGTTCCATCTGCCAGCGTTTGACAGGAGAAGACAAAATGACCGATAAAAAAGAGCTCAAAGTGGTATAACGGAGAATTTACGAATGAGGTGGGAGGGAGACGACGTGAGAACCCGTGTTGTTTACAAACACACACACTCACAGGTCACACCGACGACAAACTATCTGATCAAAGCAAAAGCTGGGGCGCTATGAAAACCTGTAAACAAAAGTGTTGCCACTGGGTTGAAAGCATTTTGACAGTTCGAGTAATTTAAAAATCGATTATTAAACAGCTGTTGTGAGGTTATTTAATAAATTAAAAAAGCATTGGAAGCCTCTAAAAACCAACCAAGAAAAGATTATAATTTATTAAATAAAAATGCAAAATTGCAAACGTATCGTATCGTCACTGTCGACACTAAGTGGTCATCGTTCGATTTCCACCACCGCACCGCTGGAAGGCAAACGTAATTTCCGTAAATTCTTGGTTTACAATAAACGAGGCACCAGAGTCGTCAAAGAAGCACAACGTAAAAATCCTCTCGAGGCACCGGTACCAATTCACAAGCGTGGTGTCCGCGATACCGGCATCTATGTAAATGGCAAATATGTTGAGATTCCAGAAAAGATTCCCGAATTAATTGTACCCGATTTGGAGGGATGCAAATTGCGGCCATATGTTTCATATAAGGCACCCGAAGTCATACAATCGGAATTCACCAGTTTGGATTTGTTCAATGCCGTATATTCGAAGAAGATTATCGATGACTTCAAGGAGGGCAAGTTGAAGGAAGATTTGTCGCCTGTGGAACCTTCAGAGAATGAAAAGTTGACTGCAGAGGAGGCCCTGATACGTGCTAGAAAGACCGGCTCTGATATTTTCTAAAATAAAAATTTGTTGTTGATATTTTTTAAAACTAAACGAGAAATGTGGATTACTTTTTATTAAATGCGTTGTCATATACCCGGTGTGAAGGACGATTTTTGAAAAAAGGTTGCTGTCATTAGGACCTTAATTATACTTTTAACTTTATGGCTAATGAGGGTATATATACAGTTTGATACGGTAAAAATGTGCCTCATCTGAAAATTGGTTATGGACCCCCATGTTTCTTTGGAGCAAATCCGTTTCAAATAATTTGGAATCGATATAAAAATGTCCGTCCGTTCGAATTTATTTTAGAATATCATGTGAATTGAGCATTCGATTAAAGTAATAATGTTTGAAAATGGAAACCATTGGTCCACTCCTTCTGATAGTTTCCCCACAAAGTGTCAAAATTTGTAGATTTTATATCAATCGAAAGGAGTGTCCAAATTTCATTCTATCTTTTCACATTGTAATATTTTGACCTAGTCTAGATCGACCTAGTTTTTTCGAAAATCCATATTTGCGGAGATATGGGCCTCGAAACCATTGTTTTTGTTCATGCTATTTAACAAATATCTAAGGAATTTAAAAAATAAAAATTTAATGCTTTCGAGGACCTGATCAAAGAAATTTAATATCTTACAGAAAAAGTCCAAAAATATACGTTTATAACTCTTATATTTCTTGATAATATATGTTTGAAAAAATCCATACTTAGGGCTGTTATATTCCTTGAAAATTTATTTTTTTTAATACGCGTATTTGTAAAAAATCCACGCTCAAAATTAACACTTTGAACTCCTCTATTCCTTGAGTAAATGTTCTTTGAGATCTGAGAATGCTTGGGAAAACATTTAAAAAAATCCATACATAGAACGATAAGATTCCTTGAGAAAATATCCTTAAGAGACCAACGATTAAATCTCTTATATTTCTTAAGAAAAATCTCCTTAAAAATCCCAGTTTTTGGACCTATAAAATCCTTAAAAAACGTCAAGTAAAATCCAATTTTATAAACATTGAAACTTTCGGGGATAATATTCTTACAAATAGCCGCTTATGAACATTTTTTATAAATATTTCTAAAAAAAATTATCACTGAGAATCTTTAGGAAGAAGCCTTAGGTATTGATTAAATCTTATCTTATAAAATGCATTCTTAAGGTTCAATCCTGTAGAAATAGTTTTTAAAATATTTTATTTTTGTGTTCATTTTTGCTTTTTATTTTATTTCATTAATTTTTATTACATTATTATTGTTGTTCTCCCTGATAAAGTCCTTTATTATAGAGGCCATGTAGAGGCCATTGTTAAAGAGACCGTGGTTATAAAGGCCCTTATTAAAAAGTCCATGATTGAAGAGACCCTTGTTGAATAGACCATGATTGTAGATACCTTTATTGAATAGTCCATGGTTGTAGAGTCCTTTGTTGAATAGACCATGATTGTATTGACCATCCTCTTCAGCATTACAGCTGACAGTGATGACAGCAGCTACGAAAAACAGGACACACAACTGAAAATAACAAAAAATCTTTTAAAGTTAAATAATGTCTGTTCCCGTACTGCAAGAATCTACTACTTTTTACTACGATAACGAATTTTTCTTTATGATATCAAAGAAAATAGTAAAATCGAGTAGATTCTTGCAGTACGAGAACAGACCAATATTTAATAAAATATTTTGAAATCCTTACAAATTTGAACATTTTGTTGGTTGGGTTGATATTTAGAATGTAATGTTGTAAAGAAGTTGCTATTTGATTTGATACTGTATTGAAACATTTCTCCGTTATTTATATTAAAATCAAATATAGCATTTGATTAAAAGGGCAGCATACGGTTACAATCAGAATTCTGTAATTTATTTTCACTCAATCTTGTCGTCTGCATAAAAATACAATTGCGTAAGAATGAAGACTTTTTTATTACATATTCAAATAATGTTTGTAATGTCTGACTTTATAATTAGTTGCCAAATTTAAAACAATTGCCAAGCAAACTCTTTTTTTTGAGGAATGCTATAAATAGGCGGGCTTTGGTAAGTTTAATATATACAAAGCGACACTAATCGATGTTTTTTTTTGAATAATTCAGATATGAAATTTGGAATATATAGATTAGTGGTCATTAGACATAGCCTTAGAAAGATGTTCTTTCAAAGTCTTATAGATAGATATTCAATACAATTAAGAATTTGAGGCCTTACAGTTTTTTTCTTTTTTATACGATTTTATTCTATGAACAGAAGAAATCGTAAATACTTTTTATAGAGACAGAATACCTATAACTTTATGCCTATAAATTTAAAACAAAATCTGTAGATCTTTTGGAGGTAATTTATAAACATAAGACACTTTTAGAGAACTTGTAGTGACATGTGATGAATTCATGATCTATAGACAAAATATCAATTTATGTGTTCCATAGATAAAGAAAATCTATAGAGCGGAACCTTTGAAGGGACTTCTACAGAGAAATACAGCCTTTTAACGTTTTTCTAAAAATAGAAGGCTATTTGCAGATGGGAGATCTTACACTAGATTCCATTCTTTCGAAAGAAGGAAAAGATCGTATCTTTTCTACAATATCCCCGGTTAATTTTAATAATTACATTTCTTCCATATACGGTTAAATAATTCATTAAATATTCAACTAATTATAAAGGCAGACATTTCAAACATTTTTCAAGTAATAAAAATAACGGACGCATCGTTCCGCAAGGAATTGTCGTTTTATGATGACGAGACTCCATAAAGTCAACACACCCAAAGGAAAACAAAAAACGACAAACAACCGGCAGACTGATTTCGTCAAAATATGTTGATTACCCTGGTATCGGAATACATTTAATTTAATATAAATAACGAAAAGAAGTTTCAACAAAGTGTCAAATTAAATCTTATTGCAAAAACGTTCATAACCCACAAAAAATAAATAATAGCAAAATGTTTAAATTTGTAAGGACTTCTAATAATACTTTAAGGGATATTTTATCTCATAACATTTGTTTCTTTTTTAGTTATTCACCTTGAGCTTGATATTGGCTTTTGTTGCTGTCATTTCGCATGCTGAGGATAACAGCGGTCAATAAAATCATGGTCTCTTCAATAAGGGACTCTATAATCATGGACTGTTTAATAAGGGCCTTTACAATCATGGTCTATTCAATAAGGGTTTATACAATCATGGTCTCTTTAATAAGGGTCTGTACAATCATGGTCTCTACAACAAAGGGCTATACCACGACAATCAACAATAGATTCGATATGTATTTTTTATAAAATATAAAATGTATATAATACATAAAATGTTTATAATAAATAAATATTAATGAAATATCGTTTGTTTATTAATTCTTATTAAACTAATTTTGCTAATTTTTTGTTATTTTGTATGTCAACTCTAAACGAACCTCTCTTGTCTATAACTCCTACAGAAAATCCTTTCGCTACACTAAAACATATTTGTATACAAATATTTGGAAATATTTTTCATATGAATTTTTTTATTAAAAAAACACTACGTCCGACAGACCTTGTGTCTCCCGTTCAATAAATATTCTATCATCCACCAGACACCATGCTAGACAAAATTTATTTAAACAGAATAAAAAAATTAAACTTTCCACACATCCCCACAAAAACGCATGTGTTGAAAAATCTTCCGAAAATAATTTTTTTTTAACTTTAGGTTAAAAAAACAGCAACAACAACAATGCCTCATAAATAAAAAATATATAATGGCAAATTGTTAAAAGATATGAATTCCGCAATCAAATTGAATTTGTTTAAAGCAGATTGATAATGAAATTGAAATCGAATGCAAATTTAATGCCTATTAATTGAATAATTATGTGAGAATATGTTGTCGGTTTTTAACCTCGAGAGTGTTTCCATTGTCTCCGTACTTACACACTTTTTGGGGGACTATGTAAGTAAAAAATATACAAAATAAAATATATAAATATATATAAAATATAGTATTTTTATATATAACTCCTTTAAGAATATTTTTTAAGAAATGTTCAATAAGGTCTGGACCAATAACCATATTGAACCAAATAATTTATAACATAATTTCTCAAAGAAAATGTTTTTTTTATTCCAGATATGAATTTGTAATTCATAAGGAAAATATTCCTAATAATTCAAACCTTAGACTAATAACCTAATAACCTGAACATTAAAAAATATATATTCTTAAATGTCCACCTCATTATATCAATGGGGAAAATTTATTATTAAGGCTCTGAAAATCTCTTTAGGTAATAAAAAATATCATTTAAAATATTTTTTGAGTGAGTTTTTTTAGGAATTTTGAGGGCCATAACAATGAAATATTAGGAGAATTATCGAAAGGACTGTTGAGGACAATAAGTATTAATAATACCCTACACAACTATGTTGTCAGGGTATTATAGCTTTGTGGACGCCCAATGGTTTATAGCGCATATCGATCGTCATATCTCGATACAGGTCACAGTTATGGATGAATCTTCACGAAATTTTGCATGTAGGATGGGTTCTGGCCGAAGAAGACCCCTATTGTTTTTTTGTAATGATCTGCTAATATTTAGGGGATGAAATGGACCAAATACAAAATTTTTGTCGGTTTTTCTAGTGGTTCCAGAGGCCACAATTATGGCCCTAACATTGCGAAATCTTACATGGAGAAGGGGATCGGGCATTATTTAGCGGGTCAAGCGAACCCTTACTTTTGTGTGAACAAAAATTTCTCCTGAAGAATATAGACTCGAGAAGTTGATATGTAGTTTGTCCAAGAGGAGTGGTTGACCTTTAAATTGATACCAATTATATATGGTCGTATGTACTCGGATGTGGGAGTTACACTTAAATATTTACAGGTGCTTACGTATTCAGATATTATTTAGTAACCCATTACCACACTAGAGGGCGGAGATATAGCGCTGATCACTTTGAAATTTTCCATGAGGATGTAGTTATGGTCAAGGCTAACGCCTATAATTTTCGTTGATGATCAGATAATAATTT